TCGTTCTTATTGCGAAATAGGAGCACTATTTATCAATCTGTAATAGAAGACGTGAGGAAATTCTATCTTTGTTAAAGACAATAATTTTTGAGGCGAATACCCAAAAAGGAGTTTGTAAAAAAATGAATCCGCCCGAACAATATAGAACGTATCTACAAGTTATAACTTATTTATCAAAGCCGATTAAAGCTAGACTGAAATGTTTTCCCAGCAACGGAACTGAGTTACTGCGCCGATGCGTTGAGTTGGCTCAGCAAGCCATTTGTGCAGCACTGCGCTAACTCCTAACAAGTCACTGAGTTACGCAGGCCTAATAGGGTGAGTTTTGAAAAACTGCCCGGCAATGGTATTGCAATTGATTCCGCTAAAGAATTCGACCTTAAAATATGCGAGGATGACTAGGGTTGGTAGGGCCAAGCGAAAATGAAATGGGCCGAAACAGGTGGGAAAAAATGACACCCTGACCGATTCATCAGATCGATCAGAGCACACCCTGAGACCAAGAGTGCCGAAGAAGCTTGACCGATTGCTGCTGGTAGCAACATAACCTGTGCGTTTGGCGGCGCTATTTTGCAGGCGTGGTCCTCTTCTCGAGCATCGTGTATTTTGCGGAGGCGGGCATCGAGCGGACCACCTTCAAGTCGATTCCGGACGCGTTTTGGTGGGCGGTCGTCACAATGACCACCGTGGGCTACGGCGACATGAGGTACAGCCCCACGCCTGCCGGTCACGCGCTGTAATGCTCGTAATGTACAGAGGTGGCGGGTCGCGGGCAAATTTGGGTTCGAGTGGGCGGCTCCAAACTTGTCCGGACTTGTTGTGCTAGACGTGGTGTTGTTTGCAGGTGTCGTGCTGTTCTCGTCGGCCGTCTACTTCGCAGAGGCCGGCAGCGAGAACTCCTTCTTCAAGTCCATCCCGGACGCGTTCTGGTGGGCCGTCGTCACCATGACGACCGTGGGCTACGGCGACATGACGTATGATGTATACACACGGCATATTCAGATTTAGTTGCCTTCCACCGTAGCTCTCTCTCTCTCTCTCTCTCTCTATCTCTCTATGATATCTCAATGATCTCTCTCAAATGATCACTGTCAAAAAATCATCATTTTTACTAACTTACCGTTTTTTCGTTTCGTTTCGATTTCGATTGTTTCAGTTGGCCTCTTTTACGCTTTGTGTCGCGACCACCACTACATACTTACACTTACAAGACACTGACATCACTCACCAACACTAGGTACAGGCTAGGGTGGATCCAGGGGGGG